TTTTTACACTCCCATGTGAATGTGAGGTGATAAAAAGCAAGCTGTAGTCTAACTACCAAACGATCATCCATGTTCCCGATAAATTTCAAAACTACCTATATCAACACTCTACCTAGTCGCATATTTATGAACTGAAAGATTCAATTATCAAAATTATATTAAAAACTACAATTTAAACCAGGGCAACCATAACAGCTATCTTAAAGTTTATTAAAGCTTCGGATGGCCAAATTTAAAAAAAAAAAAAAAAAAGCTTTGCATGCCCATTTGGAATAATAAAAATCAAGCAGTAGTCTAACTACCAAATGCTTGATCATCAATGCTCCCACTAAATTTCAAAACTACTCATATTAACACTATTTATGAACTGATAGTTATATATGCTAGAATTTAAACCAGGGCAACCATAACAAGACACATCCTTTTACAAAATAAAACCAAGTGAAATGAAAAGATATATCGCTCAAACTCAAACATGAAAATGTTACCTTAGTATCTCCACTGTAAGGCATCGGCGTCCCACCATATCCCAGACCATGAGAAATGTTAGAATCACCAATACTGTTGTCTCCATTGGCTGCAAGCCCAGAAGCTCTAGCTCTAGCCTCCCATGCTTGAAGACTGCCAAATTCTGGAACAGGCAAGTCTTTCACACGAATGAGTTGGTCCATCAAAGGCTTGAGCTGTACCTGCAATCCATTTCATATATGTTAAATCAGCTGACATTGACATGCAGTTTCATGATGAATGGCTGCATCTAGACAGAAACCAGGTAACATGGTGCACCAGCAGTGCCATAGTCAAGAAACATTCATTACAACTATACCTAGGTGAGGAACACCGATGAATCTAGGCAAGTGATGTGGAAATGTCATAAAATTCACTTGTCATGAAAGGTACAAGAGACTTGTGCGAACTCACAAAAGATAAAAACTTCTGTTATCTGTCATGACTTGCACATAAGAAGGTACAATTCCAATGTCTCCACTATTCTAATTCTAAATATCTTTTTAAATATTAAGTATTTTTAATATTATTTTATCATGTAAAGATTTGATAATTATTTTAGCAGCTAGGATTCGTAATTTGGGGCAGTTGGGCTGACTTAGAATTTAATAAGGCATTCGAATAAAACCTTATGCTTAGTTTTGTAACAGCATGCTAGATCTAGGGTTAGAATATCACATATATTCCATTAAATGTGTCTATCCGTTTTGTCAGTTGTAGTTGCTCCCCTTGATTATTGAAATACCGAATTGATCCTTCAAATGTAAGATTTATTGATTTCCTCTATTTCTCCTTCCCATTCTGCATCACTATGCTCTATCAGGCACATCATATGATGAAAAGTATACAAATAAGCACCACAATAAAACTATAACAGAACCTCCATATTTTGAAGCATGTCCTTTAACTTCTCACGGCGGCGGCTTCTTGCATTGTCATCTGCATCTCCCCCTTCTTGTGCAGCTAACTTGTCAATTTCTACCTCAAGTTTTCCATTACAACTTTCACAATGGAAGTCTTCATCTTCAAAAGATATCAAGCGTAGAGCATCCAAGGCATTATATCTAAAATAATTCAAATTCTCAAATATTATGACGAAAAACTTCATATTAACAAGTATGATTAGAATTATGATAATGCAATTACAATGAACATCCAAAACCTTTTTCCACAGCTGGGACATAGATATTCTTGAACTGTGTTCTTGTTCTCCAATTCATCTTTCAATTTCTTCTTCATGCGATGCAATCTGTACCTAACCACATCATATATCTGCAACAAATTTCATCATGACAGTGTCAATAAATAGAAAAGTGAGGATTTGACGAGCAAGTAATTTTAAAATATTGTCAAAGGAAAGGGAAAAATAATTTTGATTCCCCCCTCCCTCAGCAGTAAAAGCCCCCACATATAACCCAAAAAAAGAAACATTCAAGGAAAAAGTAACAGACCTGTGCATAATCCAGACAACAGTAAGAATGTGTGTGCAGCTTGACCTTTTCTTCTCCCTCTTTTGGTGCCAGTGAACCATCAGTTGTAGCAGCTACAGAAGCACTGTACATTTTTGCACCTTTCACAGTCTAATAGAAAACCAAACAAGATATGACGTACGTAGGTAAATGAGTACATGACTTTATAAAATCATTGATAATTGATACTTTTGCAAAACTAAAGATGACAAATAATAAAACTCTTCCTGCACCATCAGAAGGAACTGGGGAAGTTTCAAATTTTTTTGTCGTCAAATAGGAAGTTTAAAATTATATACTGCATTTTTAACACATTGTGTAGAGTTGGAATAAAAAGAAAGAATTCTAGCAGATAACGAAGAGAAACTAGTTTTTCTTCAAAGCTTAACAAACCTAGTTATTCTTCAAGATCTAAAATGTCTAATAAGCAGACCAATGAGTAAGATGGCCAACTACATCCAGCAGAAGAGCAATTCAAGCAAGACAAACAACTGCATAGTGAATCAAATGAATTAGAAAAGAATAGATGCATCTGTGTGATGTGACTGGGTCCATCATGTCTGACGACAGGAACAAAGAGATCGAATGAATGGATAAGCAACAAATAATAGGCATTTCATAGACTTCACAGAGATTGGTAGAAATTTCAGCTGCCTGAAAATTGATAAAAACAAAACTGGAATGCTATAGGATGAGGATAAGAATCTAGATTGTTGATACTATTATAAGTTAACAATTGTGTGTGACTTTGGTGGGTGTTAACGGTGCACAAAAGAATGGTAACTTGAGTTGTTTTAGGTATATTAATAAAATCATTCATGGTTCAAGGGCATTCACTTAATAGCTTATTCTTCCAGGATGAAGTGGTCGATTACCAAAGCCCACAATTGACAAGGAGTTGGATCCTTAATGTCCTATTCCTCATAAATTAATATTTTAGCATAAAGTCAGATGGCTGGATCCTTTGACCACACTGTTGATAGAGACTTATTGCTCTGTTCTCGATACTTATTATCTAAATTAGTCCTGCCTAGTCTATGCCTTCATATTTTGATGTAGGGAATGTTCAAGATGAATATGAAATTAACGCTGAAAAGAGAATAGCAAACTATTGGTCTAAAGCTTTTCCCCTTATATATGGCCTTCTGTAGTATCCTTACAGCTTTTCTAAAGATTAATAAAATAATAAATTATACTTGTCACTCATTAGTCTTCAGCTGAAAATCTAAGCAATGAAACGATATGCTGTACTTTAAAATAAGCTATTGAAAATTGACTCTGCAATATAGGAACCTGATCAGTGTAGATTACTTGTTACAAAAGAAAAATATAATCATATTAAGACACGGAGATGAATAAACAACATGGCTAGACATGCAAAAAAAAAAAAAAAAGAAAAGAACCTATGATATCTAAACATGTATTGGAATTTAAAATCGCTGACGGTGATGGAAAATAAAATAGTAATGGTGTGCATAGACTCAGAATCTTATCTATCAAGCAAGATGATACCTCTTTTCTATGATCCCGAGTAATGAACTTCTCCTCTTCAAAAAACCGCAGAGTACGACGAAGTTGTTTTGTGTGCAATTTAAGGTCCTTTGCCAAGTCTTCTTCTCTAACCCATTGTCGTCTGGAGAAAAAGATCAACACACTTAACCAAAGGACCAAGAACATGCCTTCTATCCTTTAGCTACATAAGTCAAAGTTCAACCAATATTGTGTTCTGTAATTCACTGCCAACCCAAAATGCAGTAATGCACCAAAGATTCAACACCCAACAAAGACTAAGACCTTTATTTGATATTTAGCAAACCAAACAAGCTGTCCGCTATCCAATGATCCTAGAAAATATACCAGCATTGGCCCACACAAACACTGCCACTCCTCCAGTTTGTTGTTATCGTTTCATTTCAGTTGATTTAGGTTCACTTTTCACATCCTGTTATTTTATTTTGTTTGCTTTTATCCTTAAAAAAAAAAAAATCATAGGCATACTCGCTGCTGTACTATTTTCACAAAGGAAACAGAACGCACAGCATTAAAAGCAGATAAACACAGAGACAATAACAAAGGCCGAACCTCGTGAGTGCATCGAGCACCACTACAGCAATGCCTCTGTTATCACTCCTACCCGTTTTAGGCTGATTATCTCCTTTGCTTGTCAGATCATCGTAGAAGGCCCTCGCTGCTAGTTTAAACCAGCCTAGGAAGATTCATCGAAAACAAAAACATATTTGAAGCAAGAATCAAATCGAAAAACAAGTTTTAAACCATTGATCATGAGAGAGAATCGTACTTGTTGAAATGTTCTTTCATTTTGTAGATACGGAACCCGACAAAACTATTGCGCCAACGGCCGAGCTCACAGATGGAGAGAGGCTGGAAGAAGGCGCTGGACGCATAAATTAAAGCTTTGAACAAAAATTAGCGGGAAAGATATTATCGATTAGGAGGAGAAAATTAACCACTTCACTAGCGGATTAAAGTGAAAGAACTCGTTTAAAGTATTGAAGTCAATACAAATAACGTGAATTCTATTCAATTCCGTAGCCAAGAAGTAAAAACAGTGCAGGCGCACTGGTTTCGACGCAAAAAGTGAGCCTTCAAGAAAGAATTGAAGCCAGAGCTTACAGAATGAAGACGACTGTTGATTATTGGAGTTTGTAAGAGTGAGACTGCAAGCAAAGAAGGCAGATCGCATCAGATGGCCCGTTTAATGATTTTGGGCTACTGGATAGGGGAAGCCCATTTCATTTTCATGTGGCTCAAGCAAGTCAATCTCAAGCCCTTGACACACCAAGGGCGAGACACCGGCACGGGCCAAGCGGCATTATGAGACGACAATCGCACGCGCCCACGGCGACGGAGGTAAGCGACGGTCCTTATTTGATCTTCCCTGTTGTTCCATGTGTTCGTTCGGTTTGTTGAGTTAAGCCTTATCCGTGCTCTGTTTGATATTCTCTACTCGATGTTTTTGCTTATTGTTAATCTTTAATCTTTAAATCTTCTTAAGAAGTTGGAAAATTGGAAGGTCCATGGTGAAAAAAGTGAGTGTGAGACCCATAGTGAAAAATGAATGAAGAATGTGGAAGCTTCAAGATACCGTGTGGGATGTTCATTGATTGCATATAATTCAGTGACATGCAGGCGCAAAAATGGGCGCCATGTTTGTGATAACAGTTTTGATTGTATCACTTGACAGCTACCAAACTCAGAATTCTTTATTATTTTCTTTAACATTGTCATTCACATCGAGAGTTAGAAGTGGAATCTGATTTTAACTTATCTTCTATTCTTTTTTAGTCGCTTTAGCAACTTAAATGTTTGCTGAATCAAGATCTATTTTTTTAACTTGAATGCTTCCTGCAATATGAGCCTCTGTTTTTTTGAGCTTGGACGTTTCCTTCAATTCAGTGTGCTGTATAACATTATGCGGCTTATTCAAATGACCAATCTTTTAAGTAAAATGGAATTGTATGTAATGTATCACATTTGGGGGTTTCATTTCCAGGTAGTCAGTTAACTGTTTTCTTGATATGTGATTGGTTTACTGTTACAAATTTCTTTCATTTGCTTCGATCCCAAATTTTTACGCCTATTGTTGTCATTTGCTCTCTTTTTCTTTTCCTTTTTATCATTACAAAAGCCTCTTGAAGATTGTGCAACTTATCACCCAAAGAATTCAAACTTCGATGAGCACAAGCTTTTGAAGTTTAACTTGCTAGTGGAACATAGATTTTTTCCCCTTCGACTGGAAATCTTGCATCATTTGCGTTTTTTAAATCAGTTTTTCTCATTTTTGATTTCGAATTGAAGCCTCCATGTCTTATTTTCTTCTCATTTCACCTCAAATTGCTCTGTTTCAAATTTTTTCCCTTATTTGCTTTTCTTAAATCAGCTTTTCTCATTTTTTATTTCGAGTTGAAGCCTCCATCACCATGTCTTATTTTCTTCTCATTTCATCTGAAATTGCTCTGTTTCAAATTTTTTTTCCCTTATTTGCTCTCTCGATGTTTATGTTTGTGCAGTAAATAATTACTGTTCAGATGATTGGATTTAAGGTGAAAGGATGGGTCTAGTGGACATCATTGGAAAATCAGAGGAAGATGCTTCCTTCCTAATGGTACTTTTTTTTTTCCCCCTATTTCGTGAAATTGATGGTTAGTTCATTAGTTTTGTTCTTCTTCATATTGATAAAACTCAATTTAATAATTGTTTTGACGGAAAAGATGATTCTGGCAGATTGAAAAATGGCTTAAATGTTGTATAGAAGACAGCTTTATGGAACCCTTGCTAATTTCATTATGAAACGAAACGTTTTTTAACCAAGATAGGGGTTAAGAGCACATCTTGCCACAAAAGCATATCCTAACCAAGATGTTGGTAGCCAATTGATAGAGAATATTTCAAAACCTTGCTGAACGCAATTTCATGCATCACGGGACTGTTGAAATCATAGTGGTTATTTAAGGGATGGAAAATGGTGTTGTGTAAAAAGAATTGAAATTCGTTGTGTAAAAATAAACTGGTTGAATTTGAATTTTATAAAATGATTGGATTTTAATTTTTCTTAACCAGCAATGGACCATATGTCATTGTCCCAGCCTTTATTCTTAGCTTCTCATTCTCCCACACTGATTGTTGATATAATTTCTAGTTCTCTTTTAAAAATATCATGCTTATTGTTCTTGATTCATTGGCATTCTGCTTTCCTATTTCAAGGAGAAACATCGGACTTGGAGTGGATGAAGAGATGCAATTATTTTTTTCTCAGGTAATCTTCTTCATTAAATTTTCGTTGAATGTGCAGTTTTGACCTTTTCAATGCCCTATTTTTCTCTCCTATCAAACTCACGCAGACCAAATGGTTTTCTAATTTTTTTTCACATTTAATTTGTTACTCCTCTTCTATATTTTGGTTTTTTTATATCTTCTTCTATATTGTTGTTTATCCATGTTATATGCAATTTTGTACCTTTTGAAATGTATATTCAATTTCATAGGTTATCATTTATATTTAAATTTGTACCAATGGTTTGAAATTTGAGTTGATAAATAGATTTGAAACCTTCTTGCTTTTTGAATGTTAGCCTGAATGTCAGGTAACTGAATGGGAACAGTTTTTCGGGATGTGCCAGAGTAGGGGGATGCTTTATGAGCCTTTACCACGCACTACTCATCAGATATTCCTTCAGCCACACGCTAAACAAATTGATTGTCTCTTCTTGAGAGTTTTTCATGATTTACAAATTTGTAAGATGTTTTAAACTTTCACATTTTAATTTTTTTAATGTTTTGAAATCCTACTTTAATATTTATCCTTTCTTATTTCTAAATTTTTTAACCTTTTCCATTGTTCAAATAACAGATTTCAAATTTTCAGTTATGTAAAAGAAAAATAAAAAATTGTTCCCATATGGCTTATGGGAATTTGAAAGGATACTGCTCTACTCTATGTTTGGAGTATCATATAGATTTACTTCAAAAAATCCTGCTTTTCGCATAGTAGATGGTTGCAGTACATTTTCATAGTCAAATCTATAACCTAATCTTATATTCTCAATATCATTGTAAATTTATGATACATAGCGTTATGCTACATGCCAACATTTATTTTTTATGGTGACTGAAAGTTTTCATTTTTTTTAATAGCATCAGTTTACATGAAGAGATTTAGCAGTGTGATAGTTATTAGTTTCTTATTTCTTCCACTCTTAATAGTTGGCTTTGATTGCACCATATTGTTTAAAGTAAGTCTTAGATTCTGTGTTTTGTACACTAATATTTCCTTTGCATGCTTTAAAGTAACTCTTTCCAATTTTGAGTTTATTTTATAAAAGCCATATGAGATGCTAGCATGTTTTTAGCTCTTCCTTTTCTGTCTCATTAGGTTAAACAATGACATGTAATTCTTTGCTTTTATTCCTCTGTTATTGGTTGCAAGTTAATAAATTGAACAATGACTAGTGAGACTAGATTGTTACGTAGCTAAATTTAAGCTGAGAGATAATGCAAGTGAGTGATTTTTCTTCAGCACTTGAATAACCATTTTATTTTGGCAGGAAAGAAGTGTTAGTGATTCAACTTGTTATATTACTTTGCTCATTTTGCTTCATTCATTAACATTGTTGAAGATTCTAAAATCGATCTATCCCTTTGCTATTCTGTATTTTATTTTCATTTCTTTTTGTTTGGATGTGATGGAGTTTGCTTACTTGTGACACGTGCTGTGTGATAAATCCATTGCTTTTTGTTCAGCTGTGGTCGAGTTTGCTTACTGGAAGGGATATGCATGTTGAAATTTGTTGCTTTATTATAATGTTTGGCTATGATGGAAGTTTGTCTTTTTTTTATGCGTATCATTTTAAATTTGTGTTTTACAGTTTGAAAACTTCAGATAATGTTGGGTGATGTTCTTCACCATATCTGGATTTTTGCTGATGCGCCTCCATTGGATGCAATTATGGATACGAGAGTAACTGGATAGATGAGCAACTTGAAAAGGGAATGGTACCTTGGATTCACAAGAAAGATTATGGCCATTTACAGACTTTTGCAATTTGGGAAATTTGAAGCAAGCTGAACTTTTGAAAAGAAATTTGGAGTATATTACTTTTCGTTCCATTACTAAATACCCCATAGTACAGGGATGATTCTAGTTCATCCTTATTGTGTGCCCAATCTAATGGAGATAATTGCCATTTCTGCATTGGAAAACTGAATTATCATATTTGACACTATAACCAGCAAGTTCGAACTTGCTCTAAGCAGCCTATAAGAGGCTTGAGTTAGTCTTGTCTTCAAGATATTCTATATGCACAACAATGAGAAATGGTCAGAGTCAGATTCTCTGTTACGGCATGCCTGAAACATTTCTGCAATTTCTATACCCTTTGTCAGTGGAACTCCTACATAAGGGAAGCTGTGAACCAAGGCCATGCGGAGAAGGCCCTTTTTCTTTTCCGTCAGATGAAGCAAAAGGGTGTCCAACCCAACAATTCCACGTTCCCCTTTATAGCCAAAGCTTGCGCCAGACTCTTAGATACCAAACAATCCCAAATCATCCATGCCCTTGCCATGAAATCATGGTTTCAATCAAATGTTTTTGTGCAAACTGCAATGGTTGACATGTACATTAAATGCCACCAACTTGAAGACGCATACAATGTCTTTGTTGAAATGCCCATGAGGGATGTCGCTTCTTGGAATGTTGTATTGTTGGGTTTTGCTCAGGCGGGTTTCCTTGAACAGGTTTCTTGTCTTCTGCATCAGATGAGGGTTTCTGGAGCTCAACCTGACTCCATAACTGTTTTGGCTCTGAGTCATGCTGTTTTGACTACGAAAAATCCTAGATTTGTTGGTGCTATTCATTCTTTTGGAATTCGGATTGGAACTCTAATTGATGTGTCAGTGGCTAATACTTTGATTGCTGCATATGCTAAATGTGATGACTTGGTCTCAGCAGAGACAATGTTTGATGAAACTGATATTGGTTTAAGGTCTGTTGTCTCCTGGAATTCCATGATTGCGGCATATTCAAATTTTGAAAAACATGACGAGGCTCTAAGTTGTTACAGAAGGATGCTAGATGGTGGGTTTTCTCCAGATATTAGCACCATTCTCAATTTGCTTTCATCTTCTGTGCATCCCAAAGCACTTCTTCAAGGTATGTTGATTCATTCTCATGCCATCAAGTTAGGCTGTGATTCCGACATATGTGTTGTTAACACACTTATTTCTATGTATTCCAAGTGTGGAGACATTCATTCTGCAAGATTTTTGTTTGATGCCATGTCTTACAGAACTTGTGTTTCATGGACTGCTATGATCAATGGGTACATTGAGAAAGGATATATGGATGAAGGATTGGCCTTGTTCTATAAAATGGAAGCAACTGGTGAAAAACCCGATCTTGTCACTGTGCTTGCTTTGATCTCAGGTTGCGGCCGAACAGGAGCTCTAGACCTTGGAAGATGGACTCACGCTTATTCCATTTCCAAGGGATTGAAAGATAATGTTGTGGTTTGTAATGCACTAATTGACATGTATGCCAAATGTGGAAGTATCGATGATGCTCGAGAGGTTTTTCATAACTTGACTGACAAAACTTTGGTCTCCTGGACAACTATGATTACTGCTTGTGCTCTAAATGGAAATGTTAATGAGGCTCTGGATTTTTTTGCTGTGATGGTGGACATGGGAATGAAACCAAATCACATATCATTTCTTGCCATTCTTCAAGCTTGTGCACATGGAGGTTTACTTGATGAAGGATTGGAATGCTTCACTTTGATGACTCACAACTATGGCATATCCCCTGGTATAGATCACTATTCATGTATGGTTGATCTTCTCGGTCGTAGAGGACAACTGAAGGAAGCTCTGGAAATTATCAAGACCATGCCTTTTGAACCTGATGCTGGAATTTGGAGTGCATTGCTCGGTGCTTGCAAGCTTCATCGTAATCCGGCAATGGCCCAGTATGTGTTTGAACAGCTCTGCGAAATGGATGCTCAGCGGGCTGTTCCTTATGTGGAGATGGCTAACACATATGCTTCTGCTGAAATTTGGGATGGAGTTGCTGCTGTGAGGAGGAAGATGAAACATCTTAACGTGAAAAAGTCTCCAGGACAAAGCATAGTTCAAGTGAATGGAAAATCTAGTATGTTCACAGTTGGAGATAGAGATCACCCTCAAGCCTTGTATGTATATGATGTGTTAGATGTTTTGACCTTGCATTGTAAAAGAAGGATATGGACTCATTCAGAGGAGATTTCTGAACTTGAATGGAATTGAAGCCATCACAGAAGGATAATGTCCACTATCATTGGTCAAGCATTTAAAGTTATTAGCGCACAGTGGATAAATAACAATGACAACAACAATAAGTCTTATCGCATTGAATGAGGTCAATTACATAAATTGGATAACGTTATGGTGCTCCATTAGCAGCCTAGTCTTTGGATAAGAAAGATTTATAGCCAGCTCCAAACTTAAATAAAAGGGGAGGGTTATGTTTGGCCCTCGATAGCCATTGGATAGTGGATGAACAAGTAATTGTTTTTCCCTTGCCTTGAATATTTGTTGACATCACTGGTCATGATTGATCTTTAGCGAAGAACAACCCTGTCGAGATTGTTGCTGGAAGTTATTTCTGGTTTGGGCAAAGAGAAAAAGAAAAAGGTTATACTGCCACGTAGTTCATTTTGCCGAGCTCTGACCGTGTTGTGAAAACAAAAACCAAATTTGTAGGATCAAATGCATATGCTTTAAATTTGCGTAAGAGATTGTTAGCGCCAATGTAATGATTTATGAATTTTGAAAATGCAAAGCAACTAGTACCCTTCATTCTGAGTTATAAATGGTGAAAGAAATACTTAAATATTTAACAAGACTTAAGTGTGCGTGTGTATGCTCTCTACTTGTTAGTTCACTTTCCTATGCTCATCTGCGTTAGTTGCTATGCCTCAGAACATTGCCCAAAATTTTTGTATTTTTCGTCTTCTAAAACCTTGAATGTCTCTCATTGTCCTTCCAATTTATTTTGAGTTTTTGTTCCTTTTAAAGATGATCTGTAGAGATGTGGCGCAATATGAAAGATGATTTTCATTTTCATTTTCCTTCTATTCATAGTAGTAATCTTTTAGTTTAGTCTATACATGATTTATAGGATATGATACGTAGGGATGTGGCGCAATACGAAGTTGCATTAAGGCGTCTGTCAAGGAACCATGTCAACCTCAAGCTTCGATTCTAAAAGTGACTTAATAATGGCCTACATTTTGCGATGGTGTGAGAAAGTATATTAATATATATGTGTGTATATATATATAATAGAAGTAAAAAAAAATTCAAATTTCGAGAAAAATATGTCTGAGAGGGATGGAATTGAAGACTTGAAGGCAAGAATCGCCTATTTTTCCCGCCGGGAACTCAGTAAGCATCAAGCATGGACTTGGAATTTCCGTAGCAAGGACAAGGAAGGTTTTCAGCGGCACCCGCTCTTTCATTTTCCGGCCTCGTACGTTTTCTATAAGTTGGTGACATTAGAATTTTGGCTTTCGTTTTTTCTAACCCCTTGACTTTTGTCTCATGGATACTCTTTCCTCTTCTTCCTCTCTGCAACCCCACACCTATCACAGAGACGGTGAGGGCATCGTCGTCGCTGACTCCAACAGCCATTGCTCGCATCCCATGGTCCAGAATTATCCCCTAGGACCCATCGACAGCGAGCTTAAACACAGTAATAGATGCAAGAAGAGAACTTTAAAGAAGAGTGTGGCATTAGATAATTCTGAATCACCATCTTCGTCATCAAGTCGTTATTTTTCTTCTGCGGTTTCATCGCAAAGGGGTTTGCGGTTGCATGTCAACGGCGAAACCCTAGAGTCCTGGTTCGCCGCAATAGGGGCGATGTGGCTGCGATCGGGTTTCCTCTTGGAATGTCTTTTGCGGCTGTTATTGCTCAGGTGCTATTTTCTTTCTTTCTTTCTTTCTTTCTATATATTGTGCTTTGTCTCTTGCAAGGTCTCTGTAATATGTGGCTATGGAATTTGAAGAAATTTATGATTTTGATGATTGAATGTTGTCTATATTGACAAAGTAAAGCTATTAAAGATGATCTTGGGTATGACTATTCTGTTTCCACGTGAGAGTTATAGATGTTATTGTACCTTCAATTTTCTTCTCTTCATTTTTGAAGTTCTGAATGTTGATGTCTGCTTCGATTACGGACGACTGTTCCCTTTATCTTTCTCGGGTCACAGGAGGACGTCCACCAGTCCTTCAGCTACTTTAAGGCTATTCCTTTGACCCATCTGCCACATTAGTTGGACTTCTCCAGAAGTCCAAGTTCAAGTTTTGAATGTTCGGTGATTAACCATTGTGGTATCTATCCTTCTGGGGAAGTTGATTTGTCACACGAGTAAACAACGCATTTAAAAGAGCTTCAGGTTTGTACTTTTTTGTTCTTTTTCTTCCCCTCATTGCTCACCATGAAAGTCTACTTTCACTGCATGGCCGAGTAAATTACTCTAGCTAATTTCCTGGTTAAAAAATTACTCTCGTCTGAGCTCTCCCATGCATTCATCTGTCTAACCTCGAAGTGCACGCTTATTTCAAGTAACTAACGTAGTTGTTACTTATTAGCTATAATTTTAAAAATAGTTAATCTTGCTTGGTACAGCAGCTGCACTTTACTTTCCTCACCTGGGGTCCTTGACGCTAGACAGCATCTGGAGGACATGAAATTAAATTCAAAGAACTTGATCTAAATGGAACATGCGTTTGATGTCTCAGCTATCAAGATATATCTGATCTAGTTCTCAAACTGTAACAAACTAATCCATCAGCTGTAAAATTTGTCACTGTACCATCTCCGTCACTACCAATTCCAGTTCCAACGTACCCTAACTGGTGTGTCTATCTCCTTTCAGTTCTTATTTCACTTCATCAGTCTGCATTTGCTTTTGAATAAATACTCTTCATCGCCAGAAATCCCTCATGGAAAGTCTTGGTACATTTTTTGGAAATTATACCTATCCTTCCTTTATCAAAGACTGTTTGATACAAAATTAGGAACATACGAGGTGTCTAAGTTACTTAGCACATTCTATAGCTCAGTCCTTTAACAAGAGCTTGCGTTCCACTGTTTAACCTCTTAAAAATAATCAAACTGTGACTGTATTCCATGAAATCTGTGTTATTATTTAATGTTTGTCAGTGCAAAAGAGGGTTAGTAGGCTTACTGCAACCTACCAATGAATATGTCAATGCCTCATGATAGCATGTTGGAGTAGAAACGATGATTTTACTCCAGTGAAAGATAATTGGTTGGTTGTTTCGTTGTTTGAATGTGGATGTGGTGCTGGTGATCAGCAACTAAGTCATTTATATGTGCCTTTAGTAGGGGGCATGTGATGCTTCGTATTTGAAATTGAAGAAAGGTCTTTGTATGTTGTAGCTGGGGTGATTTCATTTTTGCTTCATGCTCTAGTTTTGGACTTTATGCCTTTTGAAGGACATTTCAATGTTTGGTCAAAAAAAAAAAAAAGGACATCTCAATGACATAATATCCTTGGCATTTGTAACAGCATTCAGTCCATTCCATCTGTCACTCACACATGGATATTCTGGAGTAGCTTTTTATGCAAAGCTGTCTGTTCTTCCCTTTTTGATATTATTTTGTATGCTTTTGCTAATATTGTCTGATCTAGGAAAACTGGTTCACATGTTTATCATTCTTGTTTTAAGCATTGAATAATTTAAGTGCCTTGCTCTTTGCTATGTAAACTCTTGCCTTGTATTTCTTGATTATTCTGATAGAATATTGCTTCAGCTCCCCCTTTTCTATCAAAAGCCCCATTTAGTGGTTGGCCTTTCCCTTCAATGAGATGGGGCTTATAAAAACTCCTGCAGTGTACTTATTTCACTGTGTGATAATGCTTAATATAATAAATTACTATGATTGTTATAGATTTTATGGTTGAGACCTAGAATTGTGCCTTTGATATGTTTTGTTTTAGGTGTTGTATAGAAGAGATAGAGCTGCTGAAAGGATGTCTCCAGAACATCTTTCATTGGTAATTTTCTTGTCCATTTCTTCCATGAACTAGAGTAATTAATGATAAACTTCAGCTCCAATTTTGGGGTCTATGCTCTCAGTGGTCGTGGCATTTTCATTTAGAAAGCATTATTACAGATGACTCAGTGTTATTTAGATCTACATCGTGATGTCTGAAATACAGTACTAGCTATAAAATTCGTCAATCTAGTAATATCTCAGCAACACATGTTATTCTTATGGATGGATAAATTAAAGTAGCATGTTGGGACGTGAACAGCATGGACCTTTATTTTGCCATTTTGATGCATGTTAATTAATTTTATCAGATTTTGATTTGAACCTTGACTGTTATTTGTGAACCTTGCAGATGTGCACATCTGCTGTCAGAGAATCTTTAGCCAATGTAAGCTACATGTTTATTGCTGATTCACCCTTCTATGGCTGTTTTACTTATTTGTTAAAATTAAGCTCGGCCATTTGGCCAAGTAATGCTGCATGCCACTTATTGTGATGCGTATCTATCTGGCGTCAGGTTTTTGGAGACAAGCTGGATGGTCTAACAAGGAACTTCGAACAATCATTTGATAGCACTCTGAATACTCTTAGATTAATTTATGAATCAACTACGGGCAAGAAAGGAAGTGAATTTGATACTTCAAGGAGAGAAATTCTAAACTCTGAATTGACTCTTGACAAAGGAGATTGCAAAAGGGATGTTGTCCAAGAAGATGCTTGTTCCGAGTCAATCATGCATGTTGGAATCCGAGATCAATCAAATAGTAGTGAAGAGGTCAAGGCGGGCATTCCTATGGATTTAGTTAGTCGTAGTCTAATTGTGCCTGAACAATTAAACCAAGTGGCACGTTTTCCTCCAATTTCCTCAGGGTCGATAATAAATAATTCCAATATTAGTTCTTTTGAGAAATCTGTTATGGAACAAAGTCGTTCCAATGACCTCAAGGCAGTGGAACTTGGCCTTATGATGAAAAAATTGAAACTAAAAGAGACACAATTGGTCCTTGGCTCAGATTTAAATCATCTAGAGAGATCAAAGCTTGCTATGGGAATATCAAAAGCAGCTTTTAAAGCTGAAAAGTTTAAGAATCAGGTAGAAGATCAGAGACATGGTGAGCTAAATAAGAAGTGCATTGACTGTCTTATTGCAGGTCTGCTTGTTATGTCATTGTCACTTTTGTATGGTGCTTATGTTTATTCCTATCAACGGATTGCCGAAGCTACTGCATCATGTACACCTTTAATTGAGGCAAGTATTGATTACTATTTCTATGTCCTTTGTTCTGGCTTTGGTCGCCTTAATGCATGCGTATTGATTTTTGAGATTCTTGATGCTCTAGTATAGCATTCATGGGAGATAGTACAATTTCTTTCCATATGGGTTCTCAAGTCATATGTCTGATAGCCTTTCATGAATGCTCAATGAGGCATTTCTGGGATACATACTAGCTGCCTAGCTGGTAACCACTAATCATTGCATTAATAATCATGAGAAGTGTTGTTCTATGATTTTCTTCCGAGCAGCGATGGTTTTTTTTTAAAATTGATTTGATTAGTTTTTTTTTTTTTATTTCTTAGGTTAATATGTCTAATAGTGGAAGACTCACGATATCATCTTTGCCTCTTGTAATCTATGGTTCTTACAAGCATAAGGATAATATAAATCATCAATATGAAGCAAGATGTAAATAGCACAAAACTATAGTGATCTTAGCTGCATATAATAGCTGTATGTTTTCATGTTCAGAAAATATTGACGATATTTTCTTTTCTCTATTTAGGAATCACACTCCTGGTGGACTCCCAAGTCAGTGTCCTCTTTCAATTCGAAGTTGAATATTTTGTGGTGTCAAGTTCAAGTCTTGAGTAGAATGGCATTTGGTTTCTTAATGATCTATGCTGTTGCATATTTGCTCATCTGGCGGTCAACAACATCGACAACACAGACAATGCCAGTAACTTTCATCCTGTTGTTGTTAGGAGTTGTTTGTGGCTATTTTGGCAAGCTGTGTGTGGACACATTGGGAGGGAATGGTTATACCTGGCTCTTGTACTGGGAGATTTTATGCTTGCTCCATTTCTTGTCCATTGTTTGCACGTCAGCTTTGTTCCAGATCCTCAATGGACCTGTCACTGCACCACAAACAACGAAGGGCAATACAAAATTTCCTTATTGGATCCGAAGATGTCTGTTCTACTCTTCTTTGCTGGTATTTCTGCCACTATTTTGTGGTCTCTTGCCTTTCGCTGGCTTTGCTCTTTGGAAAGATCATTTTTTGTTAAAGATGACTAAGTATTTAACAGATTCTAGTTAGTAAAGAGCTAGTTCTTTCTCGTATGGGCATGTTTTTGCCTGATTCGGAGCTGAATAGATGGTAGTGAGTCAAGCGGACATGTCTTTGATCAAGGCTGTGATATTAGTGCATGTATTGCTATTTTTTTTCTTTGGAGTGTCGTGTATAAGTTTAAAGAAGTCCTCTTCTGAGCAACAGTTCATAGTGGTGATAAATTAATTTATTTATTTGTCGAATGTTCTAAGAGAAAGGCTGTAATGTAAAATTCAGTGAGATGGTTTCTGAATTTTATTATGAAAATCATCGCTTGTGTCATGTCACACCACCTTACTTGTTCTTGCTATTGCATGATGTGGTGACCCATCTTATACCGTTTGACTTTGGCTGCGTATTCTAATGACAAATTTTTCTACTAACATTAGCGGAAATGTCTTTTTATAAAACGTAAGTACAATATTATTTATAGGAAAATATGATTTTAGTTTTTAGAATTTTTCTCTATTGTTGATTTTTTGAATTTTGATTCATTGTAATTTGATTTTTGTAGTTTATTACCTCGAGGGATTATAGAGGTTAAATTGTTGAGTTAAGAAATTGCAATGTCAGAATTGTTCTTTAGGGTGTGCACTGGATTAAATTTTAGTCTTATATCTTATCTCAAAAGTGGTCTTGTCTTATTTAGGATTGAGACAAGACCAGAAATCCCCAGTAAAAAAGAGAGTATCCTCAAATTGTAAGCAATTAAGTGCATTTTCTCACTTTCCTGCAATAAAAATTCATTTATTTTAAAGTATCTTCATTCAACAATCTTCTCAAGATATAAAATAATGAAAATTCTAATTAATCTAACATAAAATGTTATTGTGTAAGCTCAAAAATTAATATACTAAAATCACAAATTGAAATATACTTGATATCAATGTTTTAAGATTCGGACCGACCTAGACGGTCAAACCGATCGAACCATCGCCCGTTGAAGAAAATAGGTTGGTTAAACTAATTAACCCGTATTAGCAGTTGGCTCGAGTTGGCCTGTCTAAAACCGAATGGTTTTTAAAAACTCGAGAAAAACCTAGAACTCAAAGTGAGTTTTATCGAGCAAAAGCAGATTACAAAAAAAGGACAAATTTGATATTTTAAAAAATAAAAAACTCTTCGCTGTTCAGCCATCTTGGACTCACCTTCTCAACCATTTGGGTTCTGTGTTCGCCCTTCGCTATCTTCACCATTCAACTTCGACCATCTCAAACTCTCTCAAATTTCAGATGCTTCTTCATTCTTCATCTTTACTTCACTTTCTTCATTTAGGTTTGCAATTTCACATTCTTGGTTAACTTTAATGCAAGCATGCAGCTGTCAAAGACAGTCAGATGGCGTCGAGCTCGACCCCTTTCTTCATTCTTCATCTTCTTCGTCGATTGCTCTCTCTCTTAGTCCTGGTGAGATTTTCTTTCTCCCTCATTTCTCTCTCTATCCAATTTAATCTAATTTCCATGGTTCTAAATGGAATAGAATGAATGCTAATAGATAAGCTTGCTTTTTATTATCTGAGTTGTTTATTACAAAATGGAGGATTGCTGAATGGATGAAAATGAATTTGTTTTTTATTGTCTGAGTTGTTTATTGCAAAATGAAGGATTGTGGATGAAGATGAATCTATTTTTATTGTCTAAGAGTTGTTTATTGCAAATAGAGATTTTATTTTTTTTCAAGTAATTATGCCTAAAGCCTTATGCATTCAAGAATCTAATGTTGTATGTTTGCTAGCTTATTTCTTTTATATATATATATATATATATAATATTTTTTATTTAATTATTAGGTTGCCTATCCAACCACCAATTTGACCGATTGAACCATGAGACTTGTGACCCACTGAAATTTTCAGTTCGCTGTCCGATTCAGGTTTTAAAACATTGCTTGATATGATAGAGAACTAATAAGAAACATGAATCTTATAAAGTTGGGTAAACATAATTTTTAATCCCTATACTTTACTTACGTTTTTTTTTTATTCCTATACTTTTTTTATATTTTAAGTTTCTTCACTTTTGTTTTTCATTATTTCAAATACTTCTAAAGTTTCTATACTTTGCTTCTAAAGGAATGGAAAATAATGAAAAACAAAAATGCAATAACTTAAAATACAATAAAAAAAAGAGTATAGAGACCAAAAACAAAATGCAAATAAAATACAGGAATTAAAAATTATATTTACCCAAATAAAATTTATATATATTTGGAACAAAATGGAATACCCCAATGATCATCACATGATTGAGCTGAAAATTGGCCTATTGAAACTCCATGAATACCCCTACTTGTTTTTGATTAAAAATTATAGAAATTGATTTGTACAAGTTAAAAACACTAAATGAAAAGACTGAGTTATTTAAAATGACTGAAATTGATATTTGAAGAAAAATTCGCGGACCAAAATTTTTTATCCTTGTTATAATGAGTATTGCAATCTTCTTGTCAGTCAATCATATCTACCACAAGGTCATCTATGTATTTCGTTCACATCATTCATTCCGTTACAAATTTAAGTACATAATTCTGCGAAGCACGCATGACTTGGATGTGAACATGATGAAACTCGACCATTGAAAATGCTTTACCAATTCACTTGCGTCAAGGGAAATTGTAGCTCCTTCAAAAGCTCAGGCTGTCATATGCCCTATCCATTACATGACAAAGTCCAGTAGTGCTCAAAAGATCAACAAAATAATTGAATAGGAAATAAATCCTTTCCCCTTTTTTTTTTTCTAGCTTCTAAACAAACGTCGTACAACATGCTAGGAATGGGATCTCATAAAAGTCTCTTAGAATGATCTCTAACGTAACAAGGATAGGCAAGAGCCACTGAAATTGAAGCCCCTGAGAATCAAAGAACTTTTCTACAAACAGATCTCATATTCCCACTATCTTAGTCTCTTACTTTTCTTCACTAGGTTCTAAGGTTACATCGTTGCATCGCATTTTCCTTGAGAAACCTGCTGTCACGCGGAAAAATTGGATGCCACCTGCTGAACTTCATAAAAATTAAAATCTCTCCTGAGGCAGGCAAGACAAGCCAGCAAACTTTTTTGCCATTTTCGTCTTGGGGCGGATCACAGAACCTCATGAGCCTTTCCGTAATACCTGTTTATGAATGGGGACTGCAACATAATTGTACGTCATAAGACCAAGAATATAGCATTCTGAACGGGAACAAGAATTTCGTGACAGGAAAGTGTAAAAACAAATTGCAGTTATTCCAGACCTTTTACTATAATCTATTTTCTGAAAATGCTATGCTCTTTACCCAAACATTTGTCCCAACGAACAATTGGGCCATAAACCAACTAAAGCTTGACAGAATTTCTGGGGAAAGGGGAGTGGAATGAAACATATAACTTTATACATGTGAAGTGTCATGTGTCCCTAAATGAAAATTAATACTAAAGAAATTGTTGTCAAGTAATAATTGCAGGGATATCATACATATTTCACATCCCAATTGTCATGCAATGGAAAAGGAATTATTTTCCGGGTTCTAACCAAAAAGGGCTATAATTTAAAATAAGCAGCACAGCCACAAAAATCAGTGGAATCAAAGAAGATAATCGAGCAACATCTAATGCAATGTTGGGTGAGTAGATAAGTCTCTAATGCAATGTTTGGTAGGTAGAAAAGTGTTTTCTAGCAAGAAAATGATAAATGCACCTATCCTATTCTCTTTCTAGATACATTCTCCAATTCCTTGCAAGAAAATATTTTTCCGTATACCAAACATGCACTAAGATTACTATTCAAAGTGCAAATGGCATGTTTAAGATCCTACAAGAGCAAGCAAAGGCTCAATCCAAAAAGTTATCTCCCAGAAGATCTTTGATCCCTAGAGAAGGCTACTCAACTATTCCTTGGCCGTTGAGGAATCATACAAGGAGGATTGACCACCAAGCAAGATTACCAGTAGAAATGTGGAGTCAAACATTCATATATAAAAAGGCAAACCCATAGTCCAAATTCTTTCAACCAATTGAACCAGCTCAAGTTGAACAAGACAGACCAAGGCATAGCTTTTTCCCAAATTAAATGGTTGTCAAACTTGCAATTTAACTCGTAACAAGTTTACAAAGTTTATGTCAAGAAAATGGGCCAACTGTACTTAATCTCGCTTTTTGTCAACCTGTGTAAATTTTACAGAAACCTGATGACTGGGCTTCCCCTTTGGTTTTTTTATTCTCCTATCAAAAGCCTAGTTTTCTCTCCCAACCTTATCCCATATCAACTGGTTAACAAGGAAAATACAGCCCCAAATGCCATGTTTACACTCAAGTAATCTTCTAGGATGCTATTGCTTGTGCAATAGCACCAGTAGTGATGCAACCTCGATATAGGTTTGTTACAGTTAGACAGAATAAGCTGAGCTTGCGTGATTGTAGCTTGCACTACAAGAGACACAAATAAACACCAATAAGGTTATTGCTAGACACTTGATTGACTCGTTCTTGGACAATCAACATTGACTGATATAATTTTCATTAACCATATCAAGATATTTTTTATATATCTTAGGATAAACCTTAGACCCAAACTTTGCTAAGAATTGATTTATTTTAAAATTCAAGCATTCGAGGGTTTGATTTTTGGATACTTATTATCTTATTGAGGCCGTTTTTCCAAAATGTTTGGTTATATATACTTTAATTTTTGGAGCAAAGTGGTGAAATTTGGGGCACTGAAACGACCTCACATAAACCATACGTGCAAGGCTATTTTTCAGTTTTATAGCTGGGATTGGGAAATTGACCCTGACAATTTCTCAATTAAATCCAGTGGATCCCCATCCTATAGAAATAACTATAACTTGTTATTGCTACGACAGAAACTAACAAATCTATTAAAGAATGAATGAAGCAAAGTGGTGAAATATGGGGTATTGAAATGACCTCACAAACCATTGATACAAGGCTTTTTTCAGTTTTATGTCTGGGATTAAGAAATTGACCGCAGACAATTTCTCAATTAAATCAAGAGGATCCCCATCCTCTGGAAAGAACTATAACTTGTTATTGCTATGACAGAAGGTAACAATTCTATTAAAGAAAGAAAGAAGGAAGGAAAGGGACTGACAATTTTCAGGGCATAAACTAATGAATTAACTCTTGAACTAAAATCAGAATGTTTGCCAAATTTGAAATGCCAAAGAGTCTTGTAAGAATGCCTAAGCACCTACCTTAACTTTAGACACATCAGGTGAATCTGGTGTTTGCACAGGGTAGAACTTATAAAATCTCATACTTTCGAATGCAGCTTTAGTTTCCTCACTCATTTCTTCAATGGCTTTTTTTCGAGCTTCCCTTGCCTACAACAAAAGAAATGGGTAAGAGAGCAGGAAGCAATACTAGATGTGCAGAACCAATTGCAACAACCATAGTACCTCTCTATTTGCTTTTTTTGCTTCACGAACTTTTTCCTTTACAAATCCTATAACCATAAGAGGATCAGCATACATTGATGCATTAGATATATGAAAAGCATGAAACCATATTTTGAAGGCATCCTTCTGATCTTCTGATAACTCCTCCTCCTTGATGAGATTATCTGTGAACTCCTGCAGAGCACATAATAAATTAGCACATGAGTTCCTTGCCTGAAGTCATCTATTTTTCAAAATTTGAATATTTAACTCCTATCTATTCATTCCAACAGCCACAAGGAGTAGATGTATAGACAGCAGATACAATTAGAAGCCAAAGGCCTTCACAGCACCCAAGCCTTAATGCTGATGTGTTTAATATCTTCAGTTCAGTACTCAATTACTCACAGGCTGCCAGTTGCGTTAAGCATAAATGATCGCAAAATGATAAGCGAAAAAACATTAAAATTCCTGCAGAATAATGCCACATACTGTGACAAGTGGACTTACATGATTGATAGTCTGGAAAAAACAAAAAGGAAATATGGATAAATTAAACTCCACCCGACCATTTCTAAGCTGCCTAATCTGACATTTTCTGAATTACAAAGAAAACACAGTTAACTTATTACCTCAAGTTCATCTAACTCCCAATCAAATTCACAGAATACCTGCATCAAGCCAAAATAAGTGAACTCATTGAAAACTAAATGTAGAACAAACACATCCAAGTGTTCTACATCACATTTACCGGCTTAGGCTCTGCAGGAAAAATAATCTGAACCTCAGTGCTCTGTTCAAGTTCATCTCCTAAAAGGCTGGTAGAAATCTGTGAAACGCATAGTTGTCATATATAACTATCTGAACAAGTGCTTTAGCCGTAACATGATATCAAGACCCTATACTATAACAAATTTAACTACCAATAATTAACATCAGCCATCAATCAAATAATACAGTCCTGATTTTTCCACCACATTCTAAATCTAACAATAACATTATATAATGTTTTAATCCAATCCCATAGTAATGGCCAAATTATGAAAAGGTTTGACTTTCCCTGATATTAGAAAAACTTACAAGGCATGCAAACAAATAAATTACAAAATTCTAAAGGCAGAAGACTCACAAGGTAAGCAGTACTATATTTCTTTACCCTGTCCAACTTCAGATGCTTTAAAGCAGACCTGTACATAATAGATTAATCACACATATAAAATACAAGTCTGTTCATAAACATTTACATGCAACCCAACAACTAATATGATAAATAAATAAATTTCATCAAGCGGTGCACATGAAACCAGGTAACCAAACACTTTCTCAGATGGTAGAAAATGACAAAGCACTACGGCTTCCCCTAATTATTGTATTTGTAACCAACAGTTCCATTAAGTATCAACATATGCACACACCTTCATTTCATAAGATAGAACATCTTAGAACATCTAATATTTACTCTCCAAAGATCAAAACATGATTTGTTGTGGGTATTGAAGTCAGTATATGTTAAGTGACACTGTGAGGTGGAATCTATTTCCTCATCTAAATGATTAAAGCAAGGAGAATGAGAAATACCAAAACTAAAGAAACAATCTCGTTATTGACATATTGCTATGCCCAAAAATAAGGTTGTATCGGTTAAACAATAAAAAAATGCACTGACGGATATGCACAGCAAACATGGTGACCAACAAATAGCCCATAAAATTCAGCACCTGAAATTGATAAACAATAGCAGCTATTTTACAGTGGGGGGAAATGGCCAGCAACCCTTGCAATGTGAAGGTAAATGTTTCTCAAAGCAAAACACTTAACAAATGAGGGAGGGGTGAGAGGGAAAATATCAAATATAATATATGAAATAAAAGAGTGTTAACTTAAAATGCATCAACACTTTCTATCAAACTGCGAATACTCATGGGACCAGAAAGTATGGAACAGACTTATGATACACACAGCAAGAAAAAGTGGAGATAGATGGCAATACCTTCTTTGGGTGCATCTCAAGATATATATTTGGGACTTCACTCTATCAACTTGACTTTCGCTGTTGAAGTCATTAAATCATCAAACATAAATAGTAGAATTCAGAAATGACCACAAAGCAATGCTTAATATGAAAATCTCAAAAACAACGGCCAATTGGGATAAATACCGATCCTCCAATGGGATATATGGAACCCAATCCATTTTCATTTGTTTCATAGGAATAATTTCTTCAGCCTCTCTCTGAACTGAATTAATCCCGATCTTATCAGATGGTGGAAAAGGTGATACAACCTATATACAAAAGGGAATTCAAATTCAAACTATTATTAAAAAACTGGACAAATTAAAATTCCAAGCTCTCAGGCTTGACACATATACAAGTGACACTGTTGAAGCATATTATAATTACTAATCCCAATTTTAACAGATGGTGGAAAAGATAATACAACCTATATAGAAAAGAGAATTCAAACTATTATTACAAAAGTGGACAAATTAAAATTCCAAACTGTCAGGTTTGGCACGTTTACAAGTGACACTGTTGAAGCATATTATAAGTACCAACATTTCCGATTGACAATTCAGCACACAAAAAATTAAATATTACTAGTTTTTAGTCTAATTCCAATAAAAAGTACCAGGAAAAGGAAAAAAACGCAGTAATCATAGCAAGCATGCTGATATAATTGCACATTTTCAAGTTTAATCAATTTTAATTCAACAATAATCAATTAACCACCGCATATCTCTTTATTTGTACATAGGCATACAGAACAGAGTTTGAAAACTTACAGCCACCACAACAGGTATGCAGATAACTTTGTTTTCATCTTGAAACGGACCAGTTGAGCTGCATATATTAAAACGGATAGGATATTTGGATCTATTAATCATGATTATATAAGAGGATTGGCTTGCAATCAACTTGCCAGCTTTTAAGATGATGAAAATTTGAAGCTTGCAAACCACTTACGCTCAGTGCAACCAAAGAGGTAAACCTTTTTACCATGTAGAGCTCCACCCTCTTCAAATGAATTCTGAACACATTTGATCATTTTATCCATCATTCAATCGTCTAGCTAACTTCTTAAGCAAGAGATTAAACTTCAACTAAAAGTAATCAATTAAAATTTAAAAGGAAAATATGTGCTAGTTTCTCACTTCTAAATTGGAGAAATTCCACTTGAATTGATAGACAGAATCCAATTGGTCCCACTGGCAATAAATTAAATGAGGAAGTAAGAAAATTAACGAACAATTATCAATATGTCAGATAGAAAAAAGCTACTAGTTTTACAAACCTCTGTTCCAACAGGGAATGTTTCCTTCCATAAGTCTTCCTACACAATGCACGTTGACAAATATTGTCAATAAACGTAACATTTAGTCACACTGAATGACTTGAACGCCAATGCATCACCTTTTGGATACTTTTACAGCAAAAAATTGCATTATTATTTATTAAGGTCAAAATAACATCAAAAGAATGCTTTCATCCATTAAGAACATGCCCCAACCCCTTATCTATTGGAATGGTGAGAGTTCGCAACATTTCTCACCGGACCCACTAACTTCTTACATGAAAAGCAGTGAGCTAAAACCGAGAGACGGTAGTATAAGAAATACGCAATAGTTTAGGCACGCTATTGCCTAAATTATGTCATGTTTGTATAAATTTATGTCATGTTTGAAGAAAACAGAAATGTTGCAATTATCTATCCATTATAAGAACAGCTGCATGCTCGGTCAATGGAAATAGCCAAAAAAGCTATAGCCAAGTTTCAGTTGTCCGCTGATATTGATGTGCCAACTGCCTAGTTTACCAGGAAAACGAAGTTGACACAGCTTTAGTAGACAAAGGAGAGCTAAGCTATAATTGACTGTTTTTTCCCGCATATTCGTACACACAGCACATTGACACAAAGCTAAATTAAACCATAGCCTCAATAACCACTATCGAGTGCTTCTTCGAGGCCCAGCTAACATCAATATCAATAAACTGAATGACCTTCAGTTTGCAACTTGGTTTCGGCGATTAAAAGCATTGTACCTCACGTAAGCAATGCCAGATAAAAAACTTAAAAAAAAAATAAACAAACAACGAAAAGAGACCTAAATAATCCACAATGTGCGCGTACAAGACACAGAGCCAAATAAAATTCTAAATGCGTTCGACAGTAATCCGGAATCCACAGATTATCAGTTTAGCAACTCCGAAGATATACCAAGTTGCGTTGATCCTCAAAGTACTCGGGTTCGGTCTCTGGCTTGGAGGTCCTAGCTCGTTTAGCTCGAGTTGTCTTTGTCAATTGTTTCTTGTTCGCTTCCTCTGGTTGGGCAGCTTCTTCTTTCTGCCTCGTCTTCCTCTTAGTTCCTTTCCTCATTGTCCGCACAGTTGTGTGACGGAAATCAGAAAATCTAGAGAGAAAAAAGAAATGGATGACAGAGAAATAGGAATAGGGTTTGTGGCGGGACTCGAAAGCGAAGGATCCGGATTCAAATGTAGGTAGAGAGAGAAAGAGAGGAAGAATTTAGGCGTGAGATCAACGCAGATGGTCCAAACTTGAAGAGAGAGAAACAGAGTGTGTTGTGTTGTGTGTTTTCTAGAGGCGCGGTTGGTTTTCTAGAGGGCTTTGTTTTGTTACATGGAAATTGAATGAAAGGTTTCAAATTTGATGCCCCAAGGCCAGAGACACGTTTTAAAATAAAATAAAAATAAAAATAAAAACTCCGATTATTACCAAAACCACCAACAGCAGTAATAACAATAACATGTTAACCACAACAACAACGACTATGGACAGCGTGGGCCAGATGAAGAGATAAACGAAACATGTGGCTCGGTTGGGGGATGCTTATTCATTTCACTGTATATAGAGTTACATGCTTGGCCAATCACCTCATGACACCTCAGGATAGAATTGGCGGTATATGCCCTTTTTAAATGCGATTAGGATGGATGGGTGGGGAATGATATATTAGGTCCAAAAAATTAACTCATGAATAATTAAATTTCAAAATGACTAATATTTTTTTAGTGAAAATCACACCTATGGCTCTAGAGAAAAAAATATTACACTTTATGCCCAATGCATTATAAAATTATTCTACAAGTTTGAAGAACTTTTTTACTAAAATACTAAAAATTAAACTAATCATTGTACCAGTAAAGTCAACATGTTATGGGTTAGTGATTTAACCTGAGTTAAATTGAAGGTTAACCTGAAGAGTAAATCGATCATGAGTAAAATAATATAATTTAAATAAAAAGACATCAATCATGAAAATATTCAACCAAATCCAGGATTAATCTCCAATACAAGATATAAATACAACAATAATTATAGAACTACAACCACCCAAAAGTCTAATAATAATAAAATATAACTTTTTAAATATTCATTCTTATAATTACAATTTATAACCCTTTAATCATTAAAAAATTTTAAAACTAATCATCACTAACACTAAAATTATCAACAATAAAAGTCACAATTCATAAATGCTAAACAACAATCAGACAAATAAACAACAGTAAATAAAGAAAGAATAAAATAATTAAAGCACAATTAAGTTAAAAGAATACTGAATCTTTCAGTTCAAACTTACAATTAAAATCCTCTACTAGAAGTTCAAACTACAGAAAGTAGAATCTAGTTTAATTGTCTTGCCTCCATTGCTTCGCCTTTTTAATTTTCAAACTGAATTTTTTATTTTTTATTTAGTTTTTACAATTTTAAAAAAATAAAAACAAAAAAAGTGACCCGATTGACCCAGTAATCCTATAACCAAATTATCTTGGATTGATCTCCGGTCACACCGTTTCAATGGCTGGCCGGTTCGATCCGGATTTCCATACAAAGTTTTTACAAATATATTTTAGGTAAAAAGACACAATTGTCCTTACTTAAATTTGAAAAATATAATATGCGATTGCTTTTTGATAATTTCTAATAGCATATTATTTCAAAACTTAACTGTGATTGAATTGTCTTTTGAAAAATAATTACCATTCTTTCCAGTATAATCAAGGTGAATGCCCCAAATTTATTTATTTTTAATTCATGTCTATTTTTATATATCCATATATTAATGGCGGTAATAATTTTATTTAGTCTATTTATGGTGCAAAACTTAAGTTACTATTTAAGCCAAAAAGTGAGTAAGGTTGCAAAGTGACATTGTAAGGAATAAAGATACACATGAATACGTGATTTGAAAAACTCAAAAAAAAATATGACTTATGAAAAGGTGAAACAGAGCCACAATCACACAAACAATCATTAACAATGAGAGGCAAGGCTCGAGAGAGTGGATGAAAATACAGCAGTGTGACAAACTAGCTCCAAGTTTTAAAAGGCTTGCAATGTAACGTGCCCCAGCCAATACCTATAATTAAACTTGTGGGAGGCAAAGAAAGGACACAAAGCATGCACCATAAACTCTCCCCACTGATGGATCATCCATCAGAAGCTCTTCATTACCCTCAACCTTCAATACCAGCATTTTTTGTTCGCCTTTATATTTATATCGCATATGGGGAAATTGTGATAAGGGATTTCAAGAACACTTTTTGTTTGATAGAAATCTAATTATTCTTTGAAAATACTTGGTCTCCAGCATTGCTATCAATTTTATGGCAAGTACCATTATCTATAAGCTATTAATAGTGTGATTTATCTCAAATTTTGCGAGAGCACAAGATCTGTATTCTGTCTATTAACTTACTAATTGTAATTTACATTTATACATTTAAAATTACATCGGAAGGTTGGAGCCAGTGATATTGATCAGCTCTCCCACTTTTTTGGGCTGCTTGATTTTAATTTTTTTTTTAAGATTCTTGAATCTTAATGATCAGTGCAAGGGCTTTACAAGTTTTATCTTCACTACTGTGTCTAATTTGTGTGTGCTTGTGTTTGAAAGCATGAGTCCCTTTAGGGACATTTGATAAAACTAAGAGATACAAAAAAGATTAGCATGGTCCCTTCACAAAGATGACATACACAAATTGAGAAAGTATGTGCAACATGATATTTATTATGTGTTGATAAGATTGAGGAAGGACTAAATTACATGCATTATTCTAGACAATAAGATCACAGGCTCAGCGTCTGTCTTGAGAAAAATTCAACATCAAAAAAGTTATTAAACAATAATTATCATAAAAATCACCCCAACCCAATTATATACAATATCAATAAGATGGCTTTTCCACATTATCAAAAGCATAATCCATCAATATCATCCACAAATCCAAATATCACAATCATTATTATCCTTGTATATACAATAATAAAAATTAAAATCTTATCAAAAATATAATAAAAAGCAAAAATTACAAGCCCTATTAGTCTATTACCCGAGCCGAAAGGGCCCAAGCCCAATGATAGGCACAATGCATGTCCATTGTGAGAATGGTCACAACATGTCCCAGATTTGCTGAAAGTGACACAAGGAGAACATTTCCACAAGAGATGTGGGAGATCAAAACTCTAATCGCATTGCCTATACAAAATAAGATTTGAGCTATTCAAAACTGATTTTAATGATTTAAATTTAAATATTAAAATTCATAATTTTATATAAAAATTATTTTTTGGTGGAATGACAATTATAAGATTATATTTATTTTAAATTATTCATATATTAAAACAATAATTTATTTAAAATATAAACAAGAATTGCATTAAATCTAGATCGTCCAATTTTAACCTAAACGGTCCAGGCCAATGAGCATCAAAACTGGTTTCTACTTGAGTTATAATCTTCCCTTGAAAATTGTCAAATCAAGCGTTTAACGTTACTGCATAATACATATTAAATAAACTAACTTTACTGAAACATTTAAAATCTATTCAAAGTCAGCTTCTAAGGTTTGTACCTGCTTGTGAGGTTCTGTAATGTTTTTCAACGATTTCATGAAAACATTTTGTCGTTTCGCAGTGGCCAAATATTCATTGGTCATTGTTAATCTCTTCTTGACACAAAGCAAAACCTAACAATTTTCTGGGCCTGGTTTCATCAATTATTAATGAGCGAAGACTTTTAAAAAGATTAAGATGTTTACTATTAAATACAAAAAATATTACCACTTACCCTTAAAATTTATAAATTTTTCAAAACTACTCCGATAGTGATAAGGCCAAAACATCGAAACAACATGTAGTCCAAGCCAAATCGCCCCTTGAATTTGATTAAAGCATGCCTAGCAATAGGCCAATAGCAATGCATAATCAATTTGATGTGAGTCTTGATGATATAGGATGTTATACTTTTAAATTCGATATAAATTTGACAAAATTATAATTTAAAAAAAATTATAATCAGTCTCCTAATTTACTTATTAACAATAATATTCCTTCTGATACTTAATACAAAATAAATTCTAAAAACTTTTTGAAAAAATATAATTTAGAGTTCTTGCACTTTACTTGCATTTTGGTATATATCTCTGCACTTTTATTTTTCAGCATTTTAAGTTCTTCTAAGATCCATATACTTTATTCATTTAGAAATCTATAACACTAAAAAATGAAAGTATAGGGACTTAGACTATTAAAAAAAGTTTAAAGACTTATAATAAAATGCGAGCAAAGTACAGAGACTCAAAGTTATATTTTTTTAAACTTTTTTTATCCTAGTAAAGTTAAAGTAATTAATATTTTCTTAAATTTTACCTTTTGTTGATTTATTTATTATTACTTGAATTTCTTGATAACAACTTATCATAGCTATTAATTGCAAAGAATGATAAAATTAAAAGTTACATATTTTTTGATAATTTTAAAGATATAATAGTCATTTCTTCTTCTTCTTCTATCTCATTGCACATGAGGATATTACCATATCCCATCAAATTAATCCAAGCCCTTTTTTTTGGTATGGATTCAAGCTTGAAATTTTATGATAAATTGATTTAACACTTTTAAACAGTTAAATTAAACACCCCTCAATTATAACTATCATTTCATAATAAGCCTGAAGTTGATTATATTTGTTTCATATTAAGCACTTGAGAGAGTAAATCGTAATAATGTAATGAAATATTGGTTTAATTTTATTTTTTTCCAATGTACGTTGCCATTTCTTGGTTGTCTTCTTCATCAATGTATCCATGCTTCCTCCTATTGGGGGATATGCCATGAATATACGTTTGACCTATCTCACTCACTAAAATTGATGTTAACTTGTTTTTCTATGCTTTTTTACGGTAATAAATATTGTCATGAAGCATTTAACATTCTGTCATTTTTCCCCACATCATAGTTCCGCCATTACAGTTACATGCCTACTGGAAATTGAATTTAAAAAAAAAAATCATCTTCAAAATGATATGTCGGCATTCTACAAGTGAATTAAATTTCTTATGATATTGCTGGCCAAAAAAAAAATTACGAAATTATTGCCTGTATGTTTATTGTTTTTTTCACCAGTCGTACACGTTCATCAAGTGGATGAAAGTGGTTTTATTATTAAATTGTAAGTGAATCACCTGCATTGCACAGTTTACATAACATACAGAGAACTGATGAATTATGGAACATGGAATTAAATTTAAAATTAAAATAAATAATATGAAATTTAATGTCAAGTGGAAAAATTAAATTGATGTTGAAACACATTGAATTCAATGAATTAT